GAAGAAAAGGCATGCCTCTATAAAGGGCAGTCAAAAAGAAAGAACATAAATTCAAAGGCCTGCCACGCGCCAATTCGTGCGCTATGGGTAAATAACTCAAGGAGGGCTTTATGCTTGGCACACACAAAACATATTTACAAAGCCAAACCAGAAGAAAGGCCACTCGCTCAGTATGGGAAGGCTCGGTGCTCGAATGGTTATGAAGGGCTTGCAGGCTTGAATAAGACTCGGTGTAGTTTTTACCAAACTTTGGGGTGCCACCAGAAACCAAGATACCAGGAAAAATGGTATCGCCCAAAGGTGGTAGATTCACTAGGGCCCCAACATCCCTTAAAGTAATAGACATGGGGCCAAGAGGGAAAACAAAGGTATTATATTCAGAAGACCAAAAACTTAGAGCGATCAAAAAAAGTGCTGAATCAAAAGTAGGGGGTTGAATAGAGATTTCTAACAAATCAGAAATTCTAGCATTATCAAAAAGTGTCTTAGTAGGACCATGGTCCACAAGGCGAGCATGCCACCTATGAAAAACTACGTCAGATTTGGGCCAAGTGCAAATACCTCTTTCGCGAAGTGGCCTCAGCAGCAGAGAGTTTAGAAATGGAGGGCCTTGAGTACAAGGAAACAGCTAGCCCACCGCTGCCTGTTCGACTGCCTCTGCATTGTTGAAGAAAGGACCTAGGTAGAACTCATTGAGTTCGACATTGGCGGGCGCGAGAAAGCTTGGAGTTATGTATGGACGACTCAGAAGTTTCTGAAAGTCATCAAAACTAAAGGAGTAGCCAGATTGAGATTGTGAAGTAGCCATTAGGAATGAAACAGAATTTTTTCAGAGTTACGTAGCAGAAAAGCAAAAAGATTAACAGTAAATCGTGGGAGAGAAACGCAAAAAAGTGAGGCGTGATTTAATGATGCAGTGAAATTGCGTGTTTGGGGGTTACAAGGGTTTGCAAAACATCGCACCTTTTCAAGCTATGGAAGAAAACAATGATTGAAATTCTTGGAAATTTCGAATGTTGCTGGAAACATAAAGTGAATATGGAAAAATTTAATAATTAGTATTAATTTTGCCATATTGGGGGGTAACTGTTGACACATAAAAATTCAGCCCAAATCGAACGGCCCAAAGAATGAAGCCCAATTGGAGGATCCCCAAATCAGATAGCCCAAAAAACGAAGCACAATCAAACAATTCAAGATGAAGGCCCAAATAGGGAGGCCCAAGAACGCAGTAACACCATCGCCCAAGTTTGCAAGTCGCCCAGAATTTGAGCGAATAGAGTGCCATGCAGTCGCCCAGAGCTGTTACTCTATTCTCGCACAAACCTTCGAGTCGCCCAAGGTCTTAGTAAACATAAAGTGTTGTGGTTATCAAGAAGTGCAGTTATCAAAACAGTTATTAAAGCAGCCCTATCACGTTCCACGATTCAAGGAATTCAATCGAAAGCGGTTGAACGACGAAGAGTAATGGCAGCAGTTAAAAAAGGCAGTTCCATGACAAGTTGGCCATTACGAGGAAAGTTGGCAGTTATAGAACGATCTAGCAGTTTTTAGGCAGTTGATCACAGAGAGATCATCCAGGGAGTATAAAAGGAAGAAAAGACATAGAGCAAAAGACCGAATCAAAAACTCTCGAACAGAGAACATGTAATTTTAAATTCCTTAGCTTAGATTTAAAACACTTTTTTCAGTAACTCGTGTGCTTGCGCCCCTTGGAGGCATTCTATTTTTAATTTTCAATTGTAAAGTCATCGCCAATAAAAAAACACCCCTTTTTGGGACTTTGTTTCAAGAGGTTTGTCCCTTACACAATCGTCTGATCCCTTTTAATTGTTAGCGATGAACCCGCGCAAAACACTTGGCCTTGAAGCGACCTGTGATGGTGTTGGTGGTGTCAAGCTACTTCGCACGGCTTCACTCAGGCGAGTCGCTTTCCAGCAAAGAGAGAGTCAAATGTGTGTTATATATATATATATATAGTGAGGGAGAAATAATTTAGGCTTTGAAACTGTGTATGGGTAAATTAATTAATTTTTAAATATATTCATTAATCAAAAAAATATCTGATTTTTTAAAAAAGAAAACCTGACATGTGAGTTGAGATTTGTTGTCCAAATTTGCTCTCTAAACAGCTGTCCGTTCAATGAATTATTGACATATTATCAATAATTAATATTTCATCTCAAATTTACTCTCATTAACTTCATCACTAACTAATCAAATTGATTACATGTCAGTAATTTATTGGATTGACAGTCATTTAGACAGCAAAATTGGACAGTAGATTGAGTCATAACTTAAAGAATAAAAATGAGTTAAGGGTAAGACAGTTGAATGGAAAGTTCCATTTGGCTTCAAAGATAAAATAACAAGAAGGAAAAAAAATAAAAATAAATAAAAAGACATAATGACGCTTAGAGCATGTTTGGCTAAACTTAATAGATATTTATAATCATCTTTTTTAAGGAAACTTCTCGTTTATTCGTCGAAATAATAGACTACGAACTTCAAAGTAAAAAATTGAGAGTTTTCCATTCCAATATATGACTTCTGGACATGAAGAAGAAAGACCAACAATGCGTGAGCGACACTAACACTTCACGTCTATAAAAGACAAATTAGAGAACGGAAAGAAAGTTTGAACAAGTCACAATATATATTTAATCCAGATGAATTCAAATGCAAATCTAACCTAGATGTTGTACTATCGAAGTTTGTAATCTGCAAAAAATAAATGACACCAAGGAATTGATCACGAAGAAATAATCCTTGCAGAATCCAAAAAACTCTGAGCACACAACTAGTAAAATTCATTATAGACAAATTGATTTACACTACGGTCCAAACTTGACTAACTTCTAATAATCTATGGCCTCCTGACTGTAAACACCAAGGTACTCTTGGACTGCGTGCTCCTGTACCAGCTCCTGACTTTTGAAATCGCCTATCACCTATGGACTATCAGAACTCCGATCACCATCCTGAATCTTCAGAACTTTCTGACATATATTTAGGAGGTGAGTGATTTGGTGTTTTGAGAATTGAATTTGATGTTTTCAATGTGTCGTTGATTGATCTTAATGTGGGGAATTGGTGTAGAATATGAATTATGGGAAGGATATAAATGATCGATCACTCCTATGGATGAAATATAACTCGGCTACATATAGTAGAAGGTGTTTGGGGTTGTTTACGACTCAAAAAAACTGTTTAAAATGTGATCTAAGATTTTCCTTAAAAACTAAGGTTTTGTTGATGCTTACCTAACACTAGCTTTTCACTCGAGTGAAAGGTTGGCATTGAGCGGGCATCAGCTTCTGTATTTTCAGGGCTCGAGCATTATCTTGGCATTGAATGAGCATTAACACGACATCTTTATTTCATTATTCCGTAATCTAATCCAAAGACTCCTAATTGACCTATACAACCTTCCAATTGACTCTTTTTAACTTTCATAACTTTAATTTTGTCTAAAGACTTGCCAGTTACAATAAACCAAACAAAATCATCAAACTATACAGTGAGATCATCAATATAATTAAGTTGAAACCACCACTAGTCTTTTAACAGTTTTTTATGCTTCTTTTCTTTTTATTATGAATAATATTATGCCTTTTTTTAGCCCCATTTTTTTGCTAAGAATACGTTTTGAAATAATAAATTGATGGAAAATGTGGTAAAAAAATGAGAAAAATTTTAAATTTGCGTGTAATATTATTTTAATAAAGAATGTAGGGTTAAGAAGAGAATATGTAGTTAAAAAAATAAGGAATAATTTTTTAGTTTTATTCAAAAATGTATGATTGAAAATAAGATAAAAAAATGTATTTTAAAAATAATGGGAATTAAACAAGGGAAATTTGCTATAATGTTGATGGATCATCATTTATATTTATTAGAATTTATTAGTTAATATTATCTAAACATGAAAGATTCATTACCTCACAGATTAATTATTTATGTCTAAATATATTCATTTACATATTTATATTTACGAGAGTTTATGAGCCCACGAACGAATATTTTATGAAACCGTCTCTATTCTTTCCTCTTTAATTTAAATTGCAATCATAATCCATTATTACGAGGTTATTGCATTTGAAGCAATTTTTTTTCTCAATTTCTTTTCAAATTTAGAAGCCGAAATATTATTTCATTTCTGATGCACTAATGTCAAAATCAAATTAAACGTGGAAATTCAGATACTTATGAAAACATTTCTACAAAATTTATAGACTACTGGCGGCTATGTCAAATGGCAGTCAACTATTTGGTCAATGGATAATCATTTAACTTAATGGTCTATGATTTTGACCTCTTCTCGTATGTGGGATATTTCATTTTTGTCTAATTTTGAACACATATTTGTCCCTTGTTGACCAGCCCTTCCTGGTTTCAATGTGACATTGTATCACTTTAAAAAACATATAGAAATTATTAATTATTCGAAGTTAACGTTTTTATTCAAAAGTATTAGTTTACCATAATCAATAATTTTGTCGCTCGTACACATTAGTTTACACTTTATAAATCATCCTCGAATCATAAAAAATCAGATTGGACCGAACTAAAATCGACTGTCTCAAATTTGGTCTGCTTCCCATTTTGTCATAAAATCAATAATTTGATTTTCATAATTTTTAAAGAAGACAGGTAACGTGTAGTTCTCAAAAAACTTAATCCAAACAACTACTTGCCCACCTATAATTAGTTATAATAAAAGAGGGCGGCGCTCTTTTGACAAATCAAAACCTATGGAGAACAAAGAATCTTAACAGTTTTCAGAAATCAAAACAAATTTTAATTATTAAATATCTAATTTAAGATTAAATTTTCTAGATGAATCCTCAAGCCAATGGGATTACTACACATAACCCACAAAATTTTCCATGGTCAAAGGATAATCAGAAAGATTTGATTTCCATAAAATACAAATGACACAAAAGGTTAGAAAATATCTCAATATAATTACTTTAAATTCAACAAATCATGGAAAAAGAAAGTTATGGGCTACCTGCCTACTTACCATATTTACATCACTATTCATGAACAAATCATGTGTACTTTTCCCACTCATTCTCACCATGTATAAATATGAAAACATCAATATACATTTAGATAAACAAGCGCATATAATTTGGAGAGATTTGTGTGAGGTGGGATTCTCTCTATGCCTATGATGGAGCAGATAAAGAACTTCAACAACAATAATAAAAAGGAAGATGGCATCGCAATTCACAGCCAAGTTCGGAAAATTAAGCAGGAAATAGAGAAGATCAATCACCCGGGCCTGCAGCAGCTGGAGATGAGACCGGAGATTATGCGCCAAAACCGGTCTAGATCACCGTTAGGTGTAGCCAAGAGGCCCATCTCTGTTGGGGACTGATAAACTACGAGTACAAGGAGTGTGTGCTTCAATAATTGAATTTAGTTACTTTTTCTTTTCTTGTTTTCTCTTTGCTTTAGCCTTTCAGTTGTACATACTTTGGTTTATAATCTGAAGAAGACATCTATATTTAATCTTGTTTATGCAGAAAGTTCTCTCTAGACACACACACACAGAGAATGAAAATGGAGAGGTATGATGGCAAGAATAAAATTGAAGACAAGAATATGCAGTATTAGTACTTTGTCAAAGAATCCTATGAACTTTTCAGATACATGAAAAAAAAGAAAGTGAAATATTCATAACCACAGACAAAACACACAAATTTTCAAAATTTTGGAGCAGAAAACAAGCACGAGAATCATTTTGCAGAGTTTGAGGATCTTTTCTAACACAACTGTTAACTAACTACTGGGCAGTTACCAATTCTTTTGACATGAGTGCCTTCACTCTCCTCGTAAGATCCCGCATCGCATCTACAATGACAGACTTCTTCTGGATTCTAAATTGGATAGCTAAATTAGTTGTAGTGGCAACTCCCTGTTTTAATAGGGACTCGTCTTCCATGATTTTGGTGGGGAAGTGTCCTAGAGCAATCACACAGAGGGCAATGATGGTGCGAAGAGCGGCTATCTCGTTTGATATTCCGAGAGGGGCTTCAGCTGATAATGATTTGAGTGTATTCAAATCGTTCCTTTCAACTGCTTCTTTGTCAGTGGACAGAAGAACTCTCAAGGCAGCCAACAGACGGCCCTCTACTAACTCAGAGCCTCCTAAACTCACCTTTCAGGGTTAAATGACATAAATAAGTTTAAACCGAACATGATTGTGTGAGGTGATTCCAAACTTTAGGAGGAGGTAAATCAAGAAGATATTTAATGATCTGAAAAACAAACAAATTAATAGCCAGGTTCCGACGGTGGCATAAAAGCATATTTAGGTAGCATCACAACAAATCAATGTTTCAGGAAACCTATTATCCCCACTTAATTTGTCAATATTCTTTCTTCTTTTCAATTCTTCAGATAAAAAATTATTCATGGAAAGAGTTGGAGGCAGAAATATCGGTGTTCAAGTCTCTTAGGATTAGGAAATTTAGTTGATTTTATTTATTTATTTTTTTCACTTAAGTAGCTTCATGCAAGAACTGAGGTAAAAAAATAATAATAATATTAATTACTGTCTCAAGGATTATATGCGAAAGGAGACCATTTTTCATTTATTAACTATAATCATTAACTCCCATAATGAATTTCTTCAAGGATTTCAAAAATGTAATAGCAAAAGCAACGAGATATGCTGATAATGAATCGTGAAGGAAATGTCACTAAAAAAATGGAGGTACATACACAAAATGCGATTACCTTAGAACTCGTAAGGTTAAAGAATGAAAACTGAAGACAGAGAAAGACACATACCTTGTGATCAGAATGTTCTCCACACAGATTAAGCTGGAACAAAATCTCTTGCTGCCAAGAAGATGGTGATGAGAAGTTGGGGGATGAGATTCCGGCTGCCATGCTTGCAGCATCCAGCAGAGCTGGATCATATTTGAGTTCAACGCAGTCATATGGATTTGGGTCCATAACAAATCCGTAATCCAGAAGGAAAAAATCATTATTTAAAAAGCCATAATTAAGTACTAATGGATCATCTTGCATAATCTGCGTACGAGCTATAACCTGCTAGGCATAGACCAAAGCAAACAATATTGATGGAGAAAAGAGGAATAGGATCAATTCAACAGAACATTTATAAATTCTTCATATATTGCATATTTTCAAAAAGTAATAATTAATACATGCCTTCACAAGCATCTTCTCATTGTTTGCCTCTTGTTCTTGTACAATTTCAGCATTGGGCTTGAAACTGTGGTTGCACATATCAATCAGTGGAAGCATCATGGGAGCATCAATATGGGTCCCATCTGGACGTTTATTTCCATACAAACGGAATGCTCGAGATGAAACCGCTGACATTGCCCAGCCAAGTGAAGAGGCATCTGCACCTTGGCCTCCAAATGGGTGGTCATTTGCTTTGAGACTTTGAAGTTCATATTTCACTAATTTCTCAAAATCAAGAAGAAACCGACATCTCTTATTAACCTAGTGAGAAAAGGAAAAAATGAACGAAGAATAAGTAATCACTTTCGGTCAATACTGCAAATGCCGAGTTCATAAGATCTGACACTTTTGTAGGTAAGTCCATTCAGTAGAAAGTTGTGAGGAGGTCCATGGAAGTAATTATCTACCTGATAAAGAAGAGGAGCATACTGCAAATTCTTGATATCCTCGCCAGGAAAGAAAATGGGTACACTATATGTTTCAGGAAGGTTGCTGATATATGGCCACCAGAAGGAACCAGTTTTTGCTCTTTCTTGCAGAAGCTTTAGACCCAGTTTCATAGCCCACAGCTCCTCTGTCAAATGCTTCAAATGTCCAATTTACTCATACAAAATTCAATAGCCTAATTTTATAAGGAACAGAGTTACTAAGCTATATCAAAATCTCAAAAATTAATAAGTTTTAAAAGGGGGGAAGAGCATCTATTATTTAGCTGTTGATCTTCTTACTAATACAGGGATTGGGAATCAAATGATGCAATGTTTGAATATAGACTTGTTATAGTTACCATTTGGAATAAAACTCAAATATGAGAGGAAGATGTTGTTTTTACTCTTTTAACTAAAATGTACACGTTAGCATTTATCTGTAAAAATACATCGAAAATGATTCAGTATTTAGAAGCAGTGATACTGCTCCTCTCGACACACATTAGAGGGTTGTTAAGAGGATACATAGACATTCAAAAGAAACAAAAGGGTATGGTTTGCTGTTAAGAAAACTAAACTAGAAAATCTATACAACAAAGAATTCTCATACGTTGATTGGGCATCATATTCAGATGATAGGAGGTCCACTTTGGGCTATTGTATTTATCTAGAAGAAAATTTAGTCTTGTGGAGATCAAAGAAACAACCTACAGCGTTAAGATCAACAGGTGATTCAAAATATCGAAGCTTAGCATGCGCAACTGCAGAAAGCTAGTAGCTTTAAAGGCTTCAGTTTCAACACGTTCCATCCCACGATCAAACCAAAGATGTTCTCACCGCAGCACACTCAACCCTTCACTTCAATAGACTTAGAAGCAAGCTAAACATAGATCCATCAATCACATTAAACTTGAGAAAGTACCAAGGGTAACAGCATATACTAGAACAGCCTGTAAGATGATTCTTTTGTTATTATATTATTTGTAACCTTATTCTTTACAGGCTATGAAAACAACCTCTATATAGCTTTGATGAGCTCATTTTAAGTGATTATATCCACCACTTCAGTACAAATATGAAATTCCAAAATCCCTCTCTCATATGCTAACACCTGCCATCCTTGGATACAGTCAATAGATGTTAGTTTTAACCACATGGTCATATTACATTCATCTTTTCTAATTTTAGCACATGTTAGCTTTATCATTAACTAGAATGATCATTTACATTGTGAACTTTCTAAATTTAGCACATGCCATTTAAGCATTCACATTTTTAGTTATCCTAATCCCTACATCCTACCTTAGCGACTTCATCAACCTTTTTATTAACTTCACGATCATCGAGATTGGTACATTTTGTAAATTATTTTGTTTGTCAAAACTATAAATTATGTGTCATGTTATTTTACTGCAAACAGTGATCCAATTGGCAAAGAGAAAATTCCAAGGTGACATCCATGAGCAAAGGAAACATTTATCTGGACATTGCTAAAATTCAAATAATGTAACACATACCACGTGCTTATTGTAATATCATATATCCGTCTTGCTAGTATATGTTGACCACATAAGAGATTCAAAAGTCATTAGTTTAAACTCCAAATCTTCTCTCCATGGACAAAGCTCACTAGATATTTAGAGGTTTACTTTCACGTATCTTTCAATCTATATTTATAAATAGACAAGAAGTCGGCAGTTTGTGAACTTAAGTTTGTTCCATTTTATTAAAATAAAATAAAATAATTCTTCATGCTAGTTAGGTATTCAATTCATATGGATCATAAGAAATGCAGCATTTTTCATTTCCAGCTGAGTTAGTGACGAGTGGGATCTTTTACCTTTTCCCTGTTCCATTGAGACCATACTCAGATATATGCTTTCAAATTAATTTCTTTAGACATGACCAATTTTTTTCTCTACAATCCTTGTGCTGAGAGGCTCTCACTACAAATACAACATTCTTGTATTGATGTAACAATACATGACAAGTGACCATTAGAGACGAACTAATAGTATACTAAAAATTGATGATGTAAAACGGAGTGGATGACTTCTGTAATCAGCAAATGATGATTATATATTCCTTATCAAATATCAATCATCAGTCTAATCATTATGACTTGATTTTAGGTCCATTTATTCAAACTAAGATAATATTTGGCAAATGCTAAGGCCAATTTTAGCATAATGTAAATTGGGAGTCTTATTTGAAAAGTTTATTACTGTGAGCTTGAAATCATGTCCATTTTTAAGCTAAATCAAGCTTCACTTGAAACCAAGTAAGAAAAAGGATGCAATCTGGCTACATCTGAAAGTTGATTATTGAGAGCCCATTTTAATTCAATGTAAACTTAATTAAAAATCATTAATCCCATTTCATGAGTGAATTTATATTTTGAGACAGAAAATGATTTTGTAGCAAAGCAAAATCAATAAAGAAAATAAGCTTTTCCAGTTAAGAGTTGAACAGAACCAAAAATAAGATTGCTACAGACCTTAAGATTTATGAGATTACATGTCAAACCAGACCTGAATTTAAACAATTCACATTAAACAGCTCATAGAATTGTACCGGGTCTCACTGTTATATAATGACTCAAGCGACTTATTAATCCAATAAATGACAGCTACACCAGAATGTCCTATATTAATAAATCATTAAAATCAAGGACTTTTGATCGTCACTTCTGACGCATTACTGCAAAAAGATAATATGCTATCATGATAAATAGTGAAGACCTCTCAGTTAATTAAAACTAAAGAAAGGAATGTGCTCCACACTAATCTCTCAACTGAACATAAAAAAAGTAACAATTGTCCACAGTTAAGCTTACTTGATGTAAAGACACTATTTTTCGAT